TGGTAAGTGAACTTAAGGCTGGTTTCATGCTTGTGTTAGAAGAGTTGATAGAAGTCTTGACCTCTACTAAAATCACTCTTCCTTTCGGCAGCAACCTACGCAGCTGCAGTGCTGTTCAGAATGTCTGAGGACAAACCACAGGACTATAAGAAGCGACTTTCGGTTGAGTTGACAAGCTCCCTGTTCCGGACTGAGCCAATGGCTTGGAACGAGGTGAGTTCTGTGATTGGTGTGAAGAGTTCCCTGGGGAGAGCTCACTCCTGTGTTCTCCTCCTTCCACCAGTGAAGCGTAGATGCCATCAGTGATACAGGCCCAGCTTTATACAGCTTTTTGGTGGCTGTACCTTCTTTACTCTCTCTCTCTGTGTTCACGTGCAGTGAACCTGTGGTAAGCAGCCTTCAAGCTGCTTTTTCCCTGGCAGACAGGAAGAGTCTGTTCACTGCTGCTGCTGCTGCTGAAGTGTGTAATGCTCAGTGTGCTTGCTAGTGTCCAAAGCTGTATACAAGAACTTTGTACTTTTCTGTGTTGCTTGTCAAAACCTAATGAACTCTGGATACAAAAATAGAAACATGAGTGGTGTGAGGGAAGCATAAATACAAAACACATCCTGTGAGGCTTCTATCAAGCCAACAATGCAGGATTAGTAATCTTGGACTGGGAATGCAACTCCCTCAAGTCTTCCGCTCAAGTCCTGAGAACTGAGATTTCAGACTTGAATATGTTTGCAGGCTCATTAACACACGTGGCTTTTTTTTTCATCTTTAATGGACTACACAGTAAATTGAGACTGAAGTCAATCTGTGTGCATGGGATACAGGGAAGGCTTCACTCATTCTTTTGTCTTCCCACAAATTCTTAAGATTCGGGAGCCTAACTTGTCTTGTCTTGTATGTATCTACTACACCGGGGGCAGTAGCCTTTAATTTGTACTGTTTCAGTGCTTACTTTTCTGTTTTCCTAAAATCTCTATCTACCACAAGAATGCATGGGGGGGGAACTAAAACTCTGTCTTTGAGACTGGAGTTAGGCAGATGCTCTGCAGGCAGGCAATTACTTCCGTAGTTGAACGTATGGGAGAGGTTCCTTCAGAACTCTTAAAAGCTCTGTTGCAGGATCTGGACATGTCCTCACTACTTGAAGGATGTTCCTAGACCTACCCCATCTTTTTTACTCCCAGGTAGAACCCTCCTTCCAGTGATCTGTGGATTCCTAAATCTGGCTATTATATGTTGGATGCAGATACTTAGCTAAAAAGGCATTTCATGTTGACAGCAGTGCTGCAGTGCTCACTGCAGAGGAGTTGTTCAAAGCGATTTGGGGCAAGCTTCACAACTTTTTAAATTCAAAATTACTGGTGCTGACCAAAAGACCCGATGTTAAAACTGTTTTGTAATTCTTTGTGTACACATAGACGGCGGATCTCGGACTGGATATTGGTGCCCAGGGAGAGCCTCTTGGATACCGCCCAGATGGTACGTATCTTCTGTTCCCCTAGACTAAACTTTCAATTGGATGAAGTCAAGTCATAGATTTTAAAGGAGAACTGCAAATGAGTGAAGAGTGAATTTACTCTTCAGCAAGGTATTGCAAACTGACAGGCAGATGGGGAACTGCCAGTTCAAATAACCCGTTTCTGCAACACCACTGGCAGCACTGAAATGGGAGCTGTATGAACATGCAAAACCAGTGTCTCTTGTCTGAGTCCTGTGGGAACACCTCCTGCTGAGCTGTTGTTTCCAGAAATCTTTTCCATTCCTTAAAAATGGACTTGACAATTCCAATAGTGCAGTTTTTCTTTAAAACAACAAAGCTGGTACTGAATGTGTTAGTCTGTGAGTGTCTACAGATTTGAAAACAAGCCTATCCCTAAGGATTCTGAGCTATTTTTGACTAGTCTTTCAGAAGCAAGTCTACAGTCTTGGAGCCTGGTTTTGCTGCAATATTGTTGAATTTTAGTACTGTTGATTGTGCAGACTAATGGCTTGGCTGGAATCTGCTCGTGCTTCTGACTGCAGTGTGCTTTGTCTGCAGAATCCTACTGGAAGGCTTTTCCGAACAATGGAATAGCTGTTAAGGGCAGGCACCAGATTGTGTTGAACTTGGCTGAACTAGAAAACAATTAGATGGCTACACGATCTCCTCACACACTGATACTTGCAGCTTCTGATGCATCTAACATCTGTTAACATTATGCTTTTTTTCCCTCTGCCACCTTTAACTTTCTTAGATCCTAGCTACCGTTCTTTCCACTCTGGCGGATACGGTCAGGATGCCTTGGGTATGGACCCTATGATGGAACATGAAATGGGTGGCCACCACCCTGGTGCTGACTACCCAGTTGATGGTCTGCCAGATCTTGGCCATGCCCAGGACCTTATGGATGGGCTGCCTCCAGGTGACAGTAATCAGTTGGCCTGGTTCGATACTGACCTGTAAATCATCCTTTAGGTAAGAAGCTCCAACCTTGAATTTAAAAACAAAACAAAAAGAGGAAAAACAGCTGACTGGACTGAGGACTTGGTTGGCAGGGAGGGATTGGCTCGATTGGGTCCCAGTGTGCCACAGTAATGAATAAATGCTCTGGAAACACACAGTGAGCACACTCCAAACTGACTTCTGCCGTGAGGTGTGGAAGTAATTAACTGTAACGTCTTGTGCACTGGCTTCATGCAGTCTTGATGTGTTGCAACAGCCCTTCACAACTCAGGAGCACTGACACCTGTGTTTTTTTTCTTTGCAGCTGTATCATCTGAGTGAACTTGCATTGATTGGCCTGTAGAGTTGCTGAGAGGGCTCGAGGGGTGGGCTAGTATCTCAGAAAGTGCCTGACACACTAACCAAGCTGAGTTTCCTATGGGAACAATTGAAGTAAACTTTTTGTTCTGGTCCTTTTTGGTCGAGGAGTAATAATACAAATGGATTTTGGGAGTGATTCAAGAAACGAAGAATGCACAAGAATGAGTTGCAGGATGGAATTTATCAAACCCTAGCCTTGCTTGTTAAAAATTTATTATTTTTTTTAAATCTCTGTAATGGTACTGACCTTGCTTGCTTTGGAAGTAGCCTTTCTTTTTGCAGTAATTGTTGTTAGTTTTTTTTAAAGTCTCTCGTAGTATTAAGTTATAGTGAATATGCTACAGCAGTTTCTAATTTTTAAGGATTGAGTAAAGGTGTAGAACACTAATTCATAATCGCTCTAACTGTATTCTGAATAAAGTGTAACATTGTGTAGCCTTTTTGTATAAAAAACTAGACAAATAGAAATGGTCCAATTAGTTTCCTTTTTAATATGCTTAAAATAAGCAGGTGGATCTATTTCATGTTTTTGATCAAAAACTTTATCTGGGATATGTCTGGGTAGGGGCCAGTAAAAACTGTTTATTTGGAACCTTGTATTGGACAGTTTACCAGTTGCCTTTTATCCCAAAGTTATTGTAGCCTGCTGTGATACAGATGCTTCATGAGAAAAATGCAGTTATAAAATGGTTCAAAATTAAAGTAAACTTTTAATTCATTCTGTGTCAGATTATTTCAGATCACAAACTGTATTTGTGTGTTAAGAAATAGTCCTGGACTTGCACAACCACTGTAGTGGGGGGAGCCAAGAATAATTTACCTCTTTGATCCCACTCTGGCATAGTTACCCTTCATAGCCGGGGAGATTTCCTGCTGCAGTCCTCTGAGGCACCAGTCTGCCCCTGCTTTGCCTTGGCAGGGTCCTTAGTATGGGGCAGGTCTAGCCAGATGTGAGGGAATTCCACTTTGTGCCAGGCCTGCCAGCCCCACATCTCTGGGATTCACAGAGGGTGAGCAGCCTCAGCTCCCCTCAGGTGCCCTCAGCACTAAGGGATAGTAAAAGATCCTTTGCCCACAAGCTCTCAGCTGGTTCAAAGCCCTTCTCAGGTGTCCTCAGTGTTCAGCTGCTGTGCAAGATGAGACCTGTGTGTAACTGGCTTCCCTTGAGGCAGCACCTGTGTGACTGCAAGGGGACAAAGTGGTTCTGAGACTGCCGGCTCAGCTGCAGATTGCACGTGTGCACCGTGCAGCTCTGTGGGAGCAGCACTCCCAGCACATCCACTGCAGGCAGCAGTTTGCCAGCAGGAGATCAGAGCAGGTTTTGCTGCAGAGGCTCCTGGCTCAAGATGCTGAGAGCTGAAGGGAACCGCACCAGCCTGCTTCCCCTTCTGCTGCAGAGGGAGCGGACTTGCACAAGGAATTCAGCCTTGTTCCTCTCAGCCACTTGGCTACTCGACTCTTACTGTAAAACACTACACCAAATAACAGCCAGCACTCAACTCTTCCCTCTTTCTGGTAACTCCAGCTGTTAAGCTGTGAAAGACAGCGGTATTTGAAATAATGTAAGAAAACAATTCCTGTAAGACACAAGGTGAAATCTGTTTACCTGGGGCTGTTTGCTTGCATCCACATACTCTGGATAATGGGGCTGTCAGAGAGCAGGGGTGTAGCAGCAGCTGTCACAGGCACCTGTGCTTGGTGGGTGCACTGACAGACTGACAGACATCAGCCACAGCACATGTGGAGAATTTAACTCTTCAGACACTGTAGGATCTGCACACTCTAGAGGACCTTTTCTAGGGCACCAACTTTTACTGGGGGTTTGACAAACTGCCAGGGTCATCATCACACCTGTTCTCAAAGAACTGCAGCCAGGAGCATTGGCAGCTGAGAACAACACTCCACCTGTGTAGTTTAAGCTGTGCAGTGCTCGGCAAAAGAGGGGCACATAAAAGGCTGCTGAGCAAAAACCTGGGTAACATCTATCATCCTTACATGGCACACACACAGGCTCTGTGTGATCACAGTGGTTGGTACTAGTTGCTTGAGATGAACAATATTGTCTGTCTTGATAAAAAGGTATTTTCTAGTGCCAGTCACAAACATGAGGTGACCCTTTAAGATGAACAGCCAAGGCAGTCACCTGGTCCAGAAGACAAATGAGCATTTCCAACAGCAGCTTGAAATAGTGAAACACTTTATATTGTGAAGTAACTCTACTATTTATTTAATTTACACTTTCAAACTATCAAGTACTTGAGCTACATCATGTAATGCCAGCACGGCAAAGTAGTAACCAAGAATTCATCCTTACAGGGGTTTAAAAAACAAACCAACCCCCTCCCTGCCCCTGAGCCAGCTTCCCTCTCTTCCTGAGCCAGCCCAAATTCTGCATGTGCTGTAGCTCAAATTGCTGAACGCTCAGCTCATCTGAAGGTGTTCCTGATGGACCGAGGTGCTGAGCAGGGTACACAACCTGCACATTTCAGAAGGCTGAAAGAAGGCTGTTCACTTGGGAGTCTTGATATTTTCATGTCTCACCGCTTTCAGAATTTCAAATGCCAAGGAAGTAACAGCAACGTCAACGTGAGAGCTAGGAATTAAAACAGTAAAATTGATTAGACGTTCTCAGGAGAAAAATGTTTTCTTCAAATTCCACGTTTGCCTTTATGCTAGAAAAATTCTGAGTAGCCATTAACTGCATTCTCTATCTGCTTTTCTGTTAAGCAGTAACATAACCAGTGATTCTGCCCTGTACCAATCTTGAATAGAAATGAATCTCAGCTCAAACTCCCAGTAACTGCCACCTCACTCAACCTTCCTCTGTAAAAAAAAGCAGATAGAATTTATCACACACCCCGTGACTCCTCACATGCACACTTCCAGCTTGGCAGAAAGATGTATTTTCACACACACACAGCCCTCTGCCTGCAGCGCTGCTCTGCCCTGGCAGGCACTTCCACTCCAGGTGTTGCCCACCTCCTGCAAGGAGGAGCAACTGCCCCTCCAGACACAGCACTGCACTGGGGCCCTTTGCTTCCTCACCTGAGGTTTTATTATATATATTTTGCCTATTTTTTTCTTCTGGAAGCACATTTTTTTCCTAGCATTGGAACAAAGGCTCTAACACATTACCCCTACTCCACAGAATCAAGTCTTTTTAGTTTTTTTATGGACTCCCATCCCTCATCTATAGCTTAGAAAGGACATCAGCAGTTTAATCTGCAACTTCCTTTTTTGCTGCTAATGACAATATCTACTGGTACTCCACACTTTGGGAATACAGAGCTAACCAGAAAATCCAAATGATCAGTTCACACTACCTAAGCCAATGTCTGTTTTAATAAGCAGCAGTTTAAATCAGTTATCTGAAACAAATTTATCTCAGCAATTGCCTTTACTGAAAAATAAATGTCCACGATCCCACATTTTAAAGCATGGATTTGAATCCAGGTGGTTAACTAAGCAAAATGGGTTGGTCATGTCATTCTTAAATCTGCCTGTCCAACTAGCTCAGGAAGCATCGCTGAGAGAGAGTTTGGCAATCCATGGCTGCTACAGGGCGGCAGGGGAGCACTGAAAGCAGCTTTCAGTCCAACCAGTGCCCTTCTCTTAGCACTCGACTGCTTGGCCGGACACACTTCCCTTCTGACACACAGGAAGAGGGAGAGATTAGAAACCTTTCTGTAAGAAATGAGCAAAGCAAAAACACTCCTCAAGCAATTCAAACCAGTGGTAGGTAATATGTTGGTAGAAGGGCCTGGGAGTTTGTACTATCCCAAGGACAACTCAGATCCAGGATCTCAGCTGCAGCTGCCTCTAAAATATTTCCAGTTCTGCAGGAGATACAGGGAGGCTCCTTAACCAGGTTCAACGCACAGTGGTGAGGAGACCAAGTTTATCAGATCACAAGGAATATTTTGGGAAAAATGCCACATAAGGAAATCTGAGGAGAAGGCAGAATATCTACACCTTCCATAAATAAATGTCCATTCAGCTAAGTCTGATAAAGCTTCCTAACTCCAGGCTTCCTCTGCCTGCCTGTTACCAATTTATGCATGTCTGAGTCCATTACAGCCCCAAGAACCAGGGTCACTCCCTCTCAGTCTCCTCTGGAGGCAAATGGATAGGGACATGTGTTCCCTAAAGAAGGGGAGGAGGGGAAATGAAATCTATGAGTTCTCAGGGGCTCCCTTGTTGCTGTTACAAGCAGGAACTTGTAACAGCAACAAGTGCAGGAGCTTGGCACAGCAGAGGAACCTGGCTCACCTGACTGTATCAGAACAGTCCTCAATGGCATAAGCTGGAATTTGATCTACTGAGCATCTTGTGTTAAATTAGGGCGAATGCTCTTGATGTGGGCTCTGTAGCATGTGTTTTTCTCCATACAGACTGTAACAGACTACTGAGGAAGTCAGAAAAAGCAGAACTCAAAGACAATGACTGGGCTGTCTGGTGCATCTAATGCTGAAATGCTACAAACAGAGTGAAAGTTGTTTCTAACAGAGGAAAACCGTGCCTTCCCCCACTCTCGTTTTCAGGGGTGGTGCCTGTGTCTCCCTTGGAGAGAGCTGACATTTTATTTTCGTGAGATAATTTAATGTGTCATACAAAACCCTGTGAGTCAGCAGCTGAGTGTGCAAGGGGGGTGCTGACTGCACTCTACAGGTTTGGCTAGTCCTTGGTGTGCATCTCCTCGCGCTTGCTCTATCCCATTTCCTCTCCATGTCTGCCCACATCCCCCCTTCCTTCCAACACATGGTACACTCTGCCATAATGTTGAGGAGCCAGTTTTCCTGAAAACCTGCATTTGGGAGGAGGACAAAGGGCACTGCAAAGATTATCTTAGTGTTTCAAAAACTGACCTTGGAACTACAATTTCTCTATGAATTTTAGTTCGGCCAGGAGTGAAATGAAGCCAAACAGCCCACAGCAGAAGCACAAAATTTGTTTTGAGAGGCAGAGAACAGCCATTCATTCATTAATATGTCTAAGGGGGATTAGATAAGGGAAAGCCTATGGGAGATGAGCTAAACTTCGGCCAATTTGTTGGAACTAGCACCTCTGTTCTTGCAGAGAAGGCCATGGCATTCCCCTAAGCCTCATGCCTTCTGCAGAAGCTACAGGCATTCTTAAACAAAAGCAATTCTGTTCTTCAGCTGGAACATTTGAAAGGAATCAGCTTTCAAGTGCATCAACCACAGCTACCTTAACACGGGGCACAAATGTTGCATTGTGCATGCAGCCCACCCTGCCAAGAAACCCTGACAGAAGAACAAGGTCTGGAATAAAATAATACATTTAAAATAAAAAAATCCACTGAATTGACACACGCACTGAGTCGGACTGTGCAGCAGCTGGGGATCAAAGAGAAGAGCAGGGCAGGGAGGGGGGCCAGGGACAGAAACCTGAGAAGCTCTTACTGCACAGAGTGACAGAAGATCATTGCAGACAAAAGAGGAGGCAAGCGCTCTCAGCCCTGGAAATTCCTGAAAGCCTGAGGGAACTCACCTGGGAGTTTGGACCAGGCTCTCTAGAACCTGGATAAGAGCAGTGCCATCATTCTTCAGGCTCTCCAAGTGCTTCTTGTTTGAAGTTATCTGGAACAAAAAGAAAGGACCCTTACCAAAGGCTTGGCAAAAGATTCTTCTCTGTCATTTTTGTGGAATAAGAGAGAAGGAAACAAATTACAGCATTTATTACAATTGTAAATGGAATGTGACATTGAAGAGACTGATGAGAAAGTCCCTTTTACTGAATTTTAGGCAGAGACCATTTAAAATATCTTGGTTTAGTTAACAATATTCACCCACATTCTGAGTCCCTGTATATGTGCAAATTCACATATCACAGTCTGCCAGTCCTGATTTCATCCTTAGTATCAGTGCAAATAAAGCCCCATTTAGTCTGAATCCCAGGGATATCTTGGGGAGACAGTTATTTTCATTTCTCACTTCCAGGAAAAAGTAACCAAGCTTCTACCAGCCTTCAGATCAGGACGTGTGGGGTTTCTCTGAGACAAATCAGGTTAAATCACTGCAAAGCTGGCAACTGCATATGGAAATTTTTCTTGCCCCTGATCAGTCATTAGGAGTGTTACCTGCACAGGACTGTCACCTACAGAGCAGGGGGTGGAGTGACCAAAGCTATTTGCCCTTTTGCGTCAAATGAATTCTGATTATAGCTGATTTTGCTGCTGGTGTAGTTTATTACATGAATCCACAAAGACTGTTTTATTGTTTCTCCAGCCTTAAGTAGTACAACTACACAGCTCCAGACAGCCACACATTTCCTGGTAGTTAAGCAGGTGAACAGGAAGGTCACAGGGAACACGACATGAAGCCTCATGCACTGTAGCTTGAACAGACACTGGATATTTGGCAACTTGCTGAAAAGCTCTTGTATCTCAAAAAAATTACTAAAAAAACCTGGTTTGCGTGTCAGTTCCTGCTTGCAAAGGTAAATAAATCTTGGCTGAAGAGAAAGGAAAAGAGGAGGATCAGACCAGCTGATTATTCTGATACTAGAGGAGTTAACGCTAGAAACAATGACTTAAAATCCCAAAATCTGGCAAGGACTTGTAAGCTTTAGCGTGCTGTGGCTGGCCCTATTTACCATTGATCCAGCATCTGGCCAACACGCCTTCACATCTCCCTCTTAAATCACAACAGAAGCTGTATTTACAGCTGCCATCCCACCCTAATTTATCAGCAGTGATTCTGCAACAACAGTGTCAGTACATCTATAATCGTAACATCCTGTAGTTTAGCACTTAAAGGGAACAGGGACCTGCCTGAAATAAACCAAAACATATCCTGTGTGTTGGAAAAAAAACAGTGATGCCATTACCTAAGCACAAATCATTGGTAAATCCTGATTACAGATGGTTAAACCTTTTTACTCTCTTGAGGTTTGTATCTGATTCTCTCAGTTTGTATTTCAGAAATCCAGCCTTCTCTGTATGTTACCTGCTAGACACAGAAAATGTTTTGTAATCTGGGTTCTGAATGTGAGAACACCACCACGTATAATAGGAGCAACACAGGGAGAAAAGTACTTTCACCACAAGACATTGCTTTCTGTTCCTAAAGAATGGTTATGCATCAACCAAACATTTCCCTGCAACTCCTGCAGCTCACCAGCTACTGCCACATTCCTTGCACTTTCCACATTCATGCCCCTTGTTTATCCTGCACACTTTAAAAAGCCAAGCGGTCACAGGGAGGAAAGGTCACTAGGACTGCATCTTGCTCCATAAAACTATCAGTTCAAATAAAAGTTACAGATATCTCTCATTCTAGTACATCTTAAGTTTTGGGTGCTGACATTTGTACAACCTTCATGGTCTCTTCACAAAACAGACAATTACATCATACAGAGATCATTCAAAATATGCTCAACTATAAAATCTGGTATAAAGAAAAAGGTTTAATTCTAAAATGATCTATTTCAACAATAACTTAGTCCAATTGAGTCACAGGGTCTGCCTACAAGCCTGCCCATGCTGCAGCATGCCTTGTGTCACTATTAAGAACACATTTCTGTGCATACAATGCATTTGAATAGAAAGGATTAAAATGGCTTTATATGCACAGAAATTGTAAAAGACTGAAACAGAAACACCCATGAGATCATCTCATCACCTCCCTGTTAGACTTCACTGTACAGAGCAACTTTCAGCCACAAGCTCTCATGGTATCCATCCACAGGGGCTACTCCCCCAGCTAACAACTGCTTGAGTAAGATCCTTTCAGCAGTAAAAGTGGAAGCACAAGGAGGGAAAGATCAGCATGAGCTGCCTCCCATCCATTTAAATTAAGTATAACCCAAATTTAGAACACATTTTCTTGAGAGTGCCAACTACCAGCTTCATCCAAACTAAGGGGTATTGGTGAAGAACTAACCTGTCCAGTTGGCAGTGCCACCTATGCTCACAGAGAACTCACCCAGACCAAACAGGGTTGCACAGATTTACATGTGTGGCTGGGGCTTCACCACCAGCTTTCCTCACCAGTGCCCACAAAAATGCTTCCTATCCACCAGGATATCCCTCCATGGGCCTGGGAGGGACCAACTCAGTGCTAGCAGGAAAACTGCAGGTTGAATGCAGGGTGTGCTGCCAGGAGCCAGCTCAGCCTATGAGTTTTGTCAGCACTTCCATGCTCTGATCACTGGCTCTTACTTGCTCTTTATCTCAGTCTGAGTAGATCTGATTGCTCCCTGAGCAATTTGAAGGTCTCTTGCACATGAAAGATTACATCCTGCTTCACAGGAGCTTGTGAGAAATAGTATCTGAATCACTGTTCACTTTCAAGATCAAATTTTACTCATGTTTCTTACTTAAAAACTGTTCCAGTTTCATCTTCCTTTTGTTCCATAGATTATAATAAATTATGACAGGACATAAAACTACCATTCACCAAAATTTGAGAAATTAATGTATTTTTCACTTGGTTATCTTTTTCTTCTACCCACCATTGCTGCAACTTTTATCCACACCAGTTCTAGTTCTCATTCATTTGGAATTTTAACAACTAATTTAATGACCTCTTGTAATATTGCTGTTTGTTAAGGCTGGCTGCAACACAGATTCAATGACATAATCAATAGTTATTCCTTTAATTAAAAATGCAATTAAATCTCCGTTTAGTTGTACACTCACTGCAATTTAACAAGAATTTCAAAATTACTTTTCTTTATTATATCCACAACCATTCAGCAGCTCTCCCCTCCTCAATCCTGTTAAACAAGGGTGAGCCATAAGGAACATCATGGCTGATACGTAATGATCAGTATTTCCAAAAAACTCCAGGAAACTATTCAGATATTATGGTGCTGCTAAAGATGAGTGCAGGAAAATTTATTCCAATGGAAATGTTTTATATTACATCTACTTCACTAATAAACTGAGGAGTTTTGCATTCTTACTCTAAGTAGGGATTTTTGCAATTCAAATTTCAAGAAAACCTAGAAACTTAAGGGCAAATTACTTCTGTTAAGGTTGGTTTCATAATGCTGAACTGCTTTCTCTGATTAGTTCTAAGTCACACTTTGTAATTTACAGTGGAGAGAAATTACCTCAGCAGTAAACTACTCTCTCACCATTTTTAAGAGGAAGAAACTCTTCTTTGTTGAGGTTTCAAGTGAACCATAAACTTGAAGTCTGTGAAGTAAATAGAAAATAATGCAAAATAAGGAGCTTTATATCTGAAACTTTTTCTTGGTTGAAGAAAAGTCTTGGAAGCATATTCTGCTTCAAGTATCATCTTCTTAAAGAAACAACTGCTGGGGATGTTTACCATTTGCTCAACAAGCAAATACCTTGCCGGTATACACAGATACAAGCAAGACACCTCAAAACATACCTCTTGCTCACAAACTGTTTATTTGTCTTTCCCAAACACACATATTTTAACCTCATAAAGCAATGCTTCCCTACATTTTGATCAAAATTTTATATAATTAGGCTAATTACAGGTACTCAGTTCTTGCTCAGCTTACTGGCACAGGCTGAGAGCAGCCACATGGGAAAAGGCAGAAGCTGCTGTAGACTAGTTTATTAGAACTACCAGATCCTCACAGGTTCAATGTCAGCATAACTTGAATATTGACACTTGCTGTGAATAAAGTATCATTTATCCCTTGTTGGAAGCTTTTCTGTGAATGGAACTTGTGCCTTCAGCTAATACTGCAGTAAAAACAATCAGCAATACATTTTTTTCTATGGACTAACTGGGACCCTCCGTAGGACTTGAAATATAATACTAAAAATCAAGTTCCCAGACTAATAAACATTAAAGAATTGAGAACGCTCCTATTGCCCTCTAGACACTCTTTCAAATAATGTCTTCATAGTAAGTGCTGTTCTTGCAATTTTAAATATGCATCTCAGACTTCTCATTCCTACTTCCATCTTTGACTGGCTGAAGGCACTGTCAGTAGGACACAGAGCCTTTCATCCCCAACCAAAGCTACTGTTTCAAATGTCATCCAGGCTGGTGGTGACTGAAAGTTGATGGCTATTCACAGCTGCTTAGTGTGACCTTATTCCCATTTTTTAAGGAACAAATGTCAAGAAATATAGTGGTGTTAAAAACATTGCTATAGCTGATGTGACAGCCCAGCAAATAAGTCAGTGGGATAGTAACTTCAGAAATGAGGCACAATGCCTGGGCTGGAGGGGAAAACCTTCTAGTGTTGTGACCCATCTTATGCTTATCCCAGGGCATCCAATGGTACTTCTCCTCCCAGGCTGTCAATGCTGAACTATTCACAAGAACTGCAGTAATCAAATAAATCATGTCACTTGGTTTATTATTCACAATTCATGATGATGTGGCCAGAAATATGCAGCCATTCCTTCTCAACAGAGGAGCACAATAACCCAGGAAATACTGCAATCAGGGACTCATGCAGGTGAACTAAAGCTAACAGATCCATTGGCTGTGGACTTGTTAAATATATGCATTTATTTCATTATATATTGCTCTCCAAACATACACACTAAGCTGGCAGTGCCCGGAGGAATTATAATAAATGAACTCATCATTTCCCATGACGGATCAGGTGGATCTCTCACTTCTGGAAGCCTCCACTGCTC